CCTCTAAACTGTCCCACAAAATCAGACTTCGATTACAAACTATTAAATTGCTTAATAACAAACCTTTAATTCATTCATAATAGATCTTTTACTATTTCACTAACGACTCAGGAGTAGAGAAGGGAAAAAGAAGGATTGTTGATGTTAAGGTCGAAGGTACGTCGTATGTTCAACATTTCGATCTGATACATGCCGCTGATTTTCAAAATATCGATTGACTGGTAAAAAAAGACATGCATGTGACTTGATTGTACTCTTCTTTGTTTTAATTTTCCTTATAGTGGCCTTAATTGCACAGCTTAACTCAGAAAACGTCGAAGATTGGACAGTCAAAGGATGGAAAATATCTGGTAAAACGGACTCATAATCTGCCACTGTGACTACTGCCAGTCCAAGCCCTTTCAACATGCATTTGAGTTCATTCCTTTTAATTGCAGGTGGCCTGGGAATGGTCAACGAACTACTTAGTGGGCTGGTTGAGAGTCCATTGTTGCCATGGAAACCATTTTACAAGGACGTTGGGTTTTGCCTCCGTTTTAGTTTCCAACTTCCTACGAGGTTCGACTCTTCATTGGAAGTTTACATTAAAACACCCCAAGAGAAAGTTTTAATTTGGAAACTGCGTGGTTACCAAGGAAACAAATGGAACAGTGGGACGATCACTTTAAGACCACAAGAGGAAATTCAAGTTAGTCGCCTTATATATTGACTCGCCTTTACTAAGTCTTAATTTCTTCTTAGTCTCTCTTATATTCTGTGTTCTAGATCGTATTTCAAGGCCTCAGTGCAGTGAACGGCACTCCCAGCATACTTGTTGACAACATCGCAATTACAACCGAGGCATGTGCAACGACTCCATCCTACGCGTCTCCAGGTAAATAGCAAAACGTAAAAGAAAAATCTTTTTCAGCAAAAAATTTTACTTATCGAAAACACATCACAAGCCAAGGAATTGCTAAGCTGAGATAATTTATGGAACCATCAAGACGACCAAGAACACTAAAGAGACCTGTTACAAAATTAACCGTACTCGTTATATGTGGTGTACCGGTACAGTTGCTGTATTATAAGATGTAATTCAGAATGATATTGAAGTTTGTAGGTAAAAATTTCTGCTCTTTATCATTGACAGACTTTAGTTGTAGTCCCAATGAGTTTCAATGTGATAATGGTCAATGCACGAGCTCCACACATCGCTGCGACAATGACATCAACTGTATTGACGGTTCAGACGAGAAGGATTGCACTTGCCTAAAAGTAGAGTTACCATGTTCTTCGGGGGGTTGTGTTCCATCCGATAAACTATGCAATGGATTAGATGACTGCTCAGATGGTACAGATGAGCGCTTTTGTGGTAGGAGTACAATGAAGTCTTGGATATATTTGGCTATAATCTGTCATTCGTGCACTTTCATGGTGTTAAAATTACACATATTATAGACTAATCATAAATAAAAGGTCTCTTTATTGGACAATATGATTTGTATTTCCAAAAGTGAAGTACCGTAAATTATCGCATATAGTGAGTCACCACTACGAGAGACGCAATTGTCAAATGGAAATATATTTAGCGGGCGAAATGTAAATCTGGAACTGAACAACTTTTTACGATGCTAAGTTCATTTCAATCCGATCATGGTAGATGACATTTTACGTTTTGCAAAGATAATTTACGTAACTTATAAAAGAGGATGTGAAACGGGGCAGGCTACTTCAAAAGACCGTGTTCAATTTGCAGGGACCTCGTGCTCAGGTAACTTGTTTCAATGCGCAGATGGTGCATGCGTTCCATGGTCCTCAACGTGCCGCCGGGACAACCTTCCAGTTTGTCAAGATGGATCCCACTTGCCTTCAATTTGTGGTCAGTAAAAACTTGTGCAACTACTTTATATATCACTTTCAAAACGTCTTCCTTTGATAACAAAGATTTGAAACTGCTCAACCTAGTTTTCAAAACGCAAACACAATGGTCCACAGCCCACAATGGTCCTTACAAAACCGATAAACTTAAGCTGTTACAGGCAGAAAAATAAATATGAATGTTTGATCGATCGATCGATCGACTGATCAATCAATCAAACTTGGTTGACAAAGGCTTGGTAATTTTTCAGGATCAAGTGAATGTCCTCTGAACAATCTCAACTGTAAAGATAACACCTCCGAAACTGACTGTGACAAATACTTTAAAGGCGAGTATATTTTGATTAGTAATTACAAATAACAGTTTAACGGGGAAACCTAGCACAGATGGCAATGGCATGGACCCGGGGTATCTTGAATTCATTCATGAACGATCTCCCATTTTTTAACACTCCCTATCTTCCATTCATTTTACGAAGTTACCCATACACCTTTCTTAAGTTCACTGTTATTAGTAAGAATAATTGAAATTTATTTGTAAATAGTAACTTTAAGAATTTAAGGACAGCAGGTGTATTTCGAGGATAAAAACAAATAAAGATGAACCCGAATTCATTATGTATTTTTTAATGTTTAACCAAGGTCTCTGTAGCTTTGAAAACGGCTTTTGTGGACTGAAGCAGGATAACAGTATGGAAAATCGGTGGGATCTGAATTTTGGGCATACTCCTTCAACAAACACTGGGCCAAGATATGATCACACCACATATTCTCAAAAAGGTATTTTTTTTCTCGTAATAACTCCTTTGGATTACAAAGAAAATTGCTTTTACCAAACAGCTCTATTAATTTTTGATCTTGTTGAACAGGTGCTTACATTTATACAGAAGCTTCAAGGCGTAGTCAAGGAGACCGCGCACGTTTGATGAGTGAATGGATAGAGCCTAGTACAGTGATATGTCTTCAGTTCTGGTATCATATGTTTGGTAAACACATAGGACAACTAAATGTATTCCAAGCAACTAACAGTTCAGAGATGCTTGTTTGGAGTCTATCAGGCAACCAAGGAGACAAATGGATGTTTACTCAGGCTACATTACAAGCTGAGGATCGTTTCAAGGTTTGCTTACTAAAATCAGTGTCTAGCCATATATTAGATATAAACAGAAGCACATAGCTGCTTCTGATATGTATATTTAGAAAAAAGCCCAAAGAAAATACGCGCGCTGATTGGTTTAAAATTGTTTTTCTATTTAACAATTAGATTATTAGCTCGAGATTTCTCTGACGTAATAGTTGATAAAGCCGAAGGCCGAATCAACTATCGCTTCATAGAAATCAAGAGCAAGTAATCTAATTGTTTTAGTAGAATTCTAAATGAAATTTCCTTCAAATAACGATTCCAGTAGTTATTTCTGGCCTTAGTATTTCACGCTTTAGAGAATTCGAGGGGAATGAATTGTGAATTTGACACTTGAAGTTGCGTACGCGCACTTATCAGTTTCTTTAAAAATTTCGAGCTTTCTTAAAGTCAAGAAACCGTAAATGCACTCCTTTTAATCTTCTCAGGAATTTGATTATGCATTTGTTTGTAAATGTTCTTTCAAAACTTTGGAGAAACGAGGAAACGTTGCAATTTTGTCGACCACACCAAGCCACTGCACGCTAATGGCTGATAGTGTGCAACGGCTTAGCCAATCAGATTAAAGCATTTGCATTAGTATACTAGTAGAATTTACGTTTTGATAATCAAAGTAAACAAGTTGTTCTTATTTTCGTCGAGAAAAGAAATAAAAAAAACATGATTTAGTATAAATCTATCAACGTTCTATCACGAATGCCGTTCGCTGATTGGCTACGCCACTCACTATCTATTCTGTTGTTGATAGCCTAGCATGCAGTGTGTGCTTGTTAACGAATTGGCAGCCGCTTCTTTGCATTTTCTAAGTGACTGTAAAGAGGATTTAGATAAAGTTTTGAACGACTAGTAGATTTATACTAAAACAATTAGATTATTCGCTCTCAATTTCTATGCGTGATAGAAATCTCGAGCTTATAATCTAATTGTGAAAAATAGAAACACTCGTGGAAGTTTAGGAGAACTCGAAAAAGCGGTGGAAACACTCGCCTGTCGGCTCGTGTTCCCAAAGCATTTCTCGTTCTCTCAAACTTCCACTCGTGTTTCTATAACTCGATAGCAAAACGGTACATGTTTTCTATTTCTTAAATATATAATAACAATATAACTGTGGTCTTACATTACGCATCAATGGGGATTTTCGTTAGAAAAAAAACACTTTATTTAAGTCATGATACTCAGCATTGCTGTGTTAATTGGGGACAGTAAGAATATATGAAGAAAGAAATCTTGTCATTAAAACTGAAAAATTGTTAAAAATCCCGAATAATTGGAGGCTGATTTACAACTGAGAAGTGGAGAAGTTGGATTCGTGACCCCCGAACCTGGGATCCCCGGATTACAAAAGCGGCCTCTGACCACTAGGCCACATCACCTCTTCATCTTATTTAACAGCTAGATTATGAGCTCGAGATTTCTATCGAGTGACAGAAATAAACTGATGAATTATCACGCATAGAAATCGAGAGCAAATAATCTAGTGTAAATCTACTAGTCATTCAAAAACTTTTTCTACATCTTCTTCACAAACACTTCGAAAACGCAAAGAAGCAGCCGCCATTTTTAAGTCGCAATTGCATTAGTAAGTTACGAGTTGTAGTACGTTATCAGAATATGCAAATGATATGCAAATTAGGGGTCGTTCATTTATCCCTTAAGTTGCGGTTTTGATTGTTTCTGTAAGCTAGGAGTGATTAGATTACGCAGTAAACACGACTTTCTTTGCAGGCTGAGACTCCACCAGTAATCATGCACAGTGAAACTGAATTTCCTAGTTGGCCTGACTCCCTGTGACACCGAACACAATTTGAGTAACGTTTTATTGCTTCCCAATTCGCTGAAAAGTCACAACAATATATCGTTTCACCCACACGAACGTAAATCACATGATTTGAAATTCGAGAAATCAGAATAATTCGACTTAGCAACACACAGCTTGAGCTTGGACCACCTGTGTCCACAGTCGTTTCATCCGTAAACTTTTTGAAATGACTGCCAAAGCGATTGACTGATCTTTTTCGTTTGGAATCAAACAAGAGCTCCCAAATTAAAGATTATATTTGGTATACAACAAAGATGGGTGTATAATTTGATCCATCGATAGCTATGACCAAAGCGTTGCCAAAAATCATATGCCAGGCTTTACGTTCAGAACGGTTTTTCTTGCGCGTGTTAATTCTGTCTGATTTTCTTGTATAATCACATAACTTTTATGGCTTGAACGTTTTTTTTTTATTATTTTCCAATACCTATATAATCCCAACCATCCGTTAGCAGCTCTGGAGAAATTAAAGTCGGCACACCAAGATTTTAGCCTGTGCACATCCTCCCACTCCCCTTATTTTTTAGGGGAGGGGGCGGATGTACATAGGCCACAAGTTTAGAACCCACTACCTTCACCAGTTTAACCATTCGACAACCTGCAACTGATGAATTATTCATGACCAACTCACAGTCACCCGCTTTGATTTAACAACCGCACACTGATAGGCTACTCACTATCTATAACAGAGTAGATTCCGTGTAGTGCAGCCAGTAAGAGAGCGTCATTCGTGATAGAACGCTAGTAGATTCATACCAACGACAATTTGATTATTGGCTCTCGATTACTATTACATGATGGTTAATGAGGCCGAAGGCAAGAGAATATAATTTCTAATTGTTTTAGAAGAGTTCTATATAAATTGCATTGAAATGACAAATTCCGATTTCGTTTCTCTACAGACTCCACGCTTTAGCAAATTGTGTGTGGACTCAATTGTCGCTTGAACTTCCAGTACTGTACACATTTTGTTTTAACGATTTCGTGATTTTAAAGTTGCGATAAATGCTTTTCTTCAAATCTTCTAGATTTTTATCTGAATTTAATATTCAATAATATTTCTAAATTTTCCTTTGAAACTTTTGGGAAACGAGATAAGGTTGGCGTTTTGTAGACGACCCCGAGTACGAGATAGCTCAGCCAATCAGATTGCAGCATTTGCATTGGTACAGTAGCAGATGTCTTCTAATTAAAGATATAGCATTATCTGTTTCTTTGGTTAAAGGGAACATAGCTATATGAAAAAACTTTTGTGGTTATTCCGTTATTTTCTTCCATTGGAAAGCCTGCCTCACTTTCAGGTATTTATTTTCAGTTTATTTTGGAAAGCGTAACCAAAGAAGGAAGTGAAGGAGATATTGCTGTGGACGATGTCACGGTACTTGAGGAACGCTGCCACCTAAACACAGAACGGGGTAATTTCATTGCATTTTTATGAAATGAAAGATTTTGAAACGGGTTTTGAGGAAAGGGGTTGAAAAGTCGGCCTGACTATCTGCACGGTGATTGGTGTAACCTCACATTAGGCTTTCCTTAAAAATACATTAAAAACAATGAGTGAAGACTGTGCTTGACTATGTGGTGCGATAGGTGATTTTTCACACAACATTACAGCGACTAAGGAAGCTTCGCCTTTATTCCCTCAGAAAAAAGATCTGTTCTTATTACCTGAACCGACTCCGAAAAAGACTTCGACGACTTCCAGTGACATCTGAGAATTTCCAGACAAAATCGAAAACTGCAATTGACAAAATTTCTTACTTGAGTGTCCTGTGGGACAACTTTAACCAAGAACGCACGTTGCTGCTGTTTATCGTTTTCTGTTAGGTTTTAACACTTCCATTACGTTTGATGATTTAGCAGCACGCTTCAGTAAATTAACCATAGGAATTTCATTGTCAACAGCTGGTCCTAAGAGCCCTCACTGCTATTTTAACCACAATATGTGTAACTGGAAGACGAGTGGACCCTGGGTTTTGATCAACCATCACACGGGAAAAAAAGGTTTTTAGAGTGTGTTTATATTATGCAACTCCTGTTTATCAACTCGAATTCAGTTTAGTTTGTAACGAAATCCGTACATAAAAAATAATGAAAAACTATAATTAAAAACGATATTTGCTATACTTGTTGAAGCACTGACGGTCAAACGTTTCAGATAAATCTGCAACTGAAAATCTGCTAAAAGAAAGGAGAGCAATGATAAAATAATTGAAATGCTATGCCCCGTGCGGTTGTGGACCTAGAGAAGAAAAAAAAGGCAATTTCCAGCAACACAAATAACTTTTATTTCTATGTTTTTCTTCGTTAGGCGGCTTCTTGAGCTTAAAACCAGGTGGCAACAAGCTAGGAAGTACCATAACATCTCCCTTGCTTGACGGCGAGGAATGGAAGTGTATGCGCTTTTGGTACCGAATAGGTTTGGGGCATGGTGCACACTTAAAAGTGTTAATGAGCAGATCAAACACAACACAACAACTGTGGAGAACATCTCATCGGACCAGCAACTGGAGTTTTGTTCAACTGTCAATAAACATGAATAAAATGGCAAGGGTAATGATTAATAGTGTAAAGTCAATAACCTGGGTTGCATGGGTACTCAACTAAGTTAAGGACGGAAGGCTCCGCCCCGAGGTCCAAACCGTGTAGCCTTACGTGTTTACTTTTGACAGGATAGGTAAACTTATCATAGAAAACGGTATTTATATCTTCCATAAACCTCTTCTATGCCTTTGTCAGGACTGAGTAACTCCTGTTAGCCATTTGAAAAAAATACTTCAATGCATTGGCAGCGTATAGTCCATAGCAATAATAATAATAATAATAATAATAATAATAATAATAGTAATAACAATAATAGTAATAATAATAATGATAATAATAATAATAATAGTAATAATAATAATAATAATCCCAGTGATCACACTTATGTCTTGTTTGCGCAACTTTGTTGATCTATTTATTTATTTACTTGTTTTTTTTAGTTTTTTGAGTTGTTTTGTTTAGCCTGCAGTGAATCAAAGTCACGCGTTAGGATTGTTATAACCAGTTTCCGATGATCCATGCAGCGACAGCAGCGTTTATGACTTGTACGAACACTGCCTTCCATAGTAGCATATATTTGTTATTTTCAGATAGTAATAGAGGGAACATGTTCAGAAACTTCCATTGATATTGATGACGTTTCCTTCAGTAAAGAGTCCTGCAGTGAGATACCCTGGGCTTCTCATCAGGGTATGTTTCAGTCAAAAATAAGCTGCACCGGCATTTTATGTGGAATAGAGAGATCGCTTGAGACCTCGCCCAGCAAATTTTCCCACATTTCTCCATTCTACCCGATTTCGCTGAAACTCCAGAACTCATTTGTCACCCACAGAGCTCAGCGACCATACTGTGCCATAACACGAGTCTCATATGCCCTATTCAGCAAACTCGTAGTCAACAATGTTGACAATAATATACCATCAAAAGATTGCTGCATATTGTCCATAGTCAAAATACATCCCATGATAATTGGCAATTCTAGCTAATTCTGACCTGCGAATGCGCATTGTTTCGGTTTAAATTTTGCCACCTTTGCTCTTTTCAGGCATATATATATATTTGTTAACTTCATTTTGTCTAGAATTCCTTGCTCCTTTGCTTCCTGCCTGTTACAAACCCCTGGGAATGCAGGACGGCAGAATCCATGACTCTGCCATAACTGCGTCATCATACTACCGACGTCGATCAGCGCCTGAGAGAGCAAGACTTCACATGGCTCTACCTGACGAAGTTGTTGGCTTTACAGGAGGCTGGTGTCAGTATCCATCTCAGTACTATCAGTGGCTTCAAGTTAATTTTGGTTACGTGGCGAGCATAACAAAGATTGCTACACAAGGAAAACAGGAATTTGATTTTTGGGTGACAAAGTATTTCCTATCTTACAGAAGAAACGCCAGTAGCACCCTGTCGCTATATCGACAAAATAGAAATGTAAAGGTATATGTTCAAATGCCAATAACCTATTTCTTTGTATGCCTTCTTGCCTAAATCTAAAAGTCACGCTAAGAAATCCTCTGAAAAGAGTTTTGATCGAATAAACGAGAGATTTTACCATGTCAAATTACGCATATTTCACATTCCCCCCACGCCCCGCTGATTAAATGGCCGAAGTTTATGTGACGTAGATTTAGGAATCCGAGTCGGTGGTATTGTGACCGCGCGTTGGAAAATAATGATTGTTCGCATCTTGTTGACTATGTAAGGCATCGCTCTGGTATTTATTTCCAGAGTTGCTACTAGGTGCGAAGAAATTTCTTTCAAACTTCACTCTGAAGTCACCTAACGCCTCCTTTATTGACTTTATTGACAATTTGTGAGAAGACGTATGGTGAGCCTTCACGGCGGCTAATGCGAACGTTTTCGCAAATAGTTTTTAAAATTGCGTTTTGTTCAAATGAAAATTGTTTTCTCCAAAATCCTTTGGGCGATGTGTCGGTTCAAGTGATTTGAGTGTCGTTGGTCGCTTTTATAAGGCGCAGTAAAGCAACTTCTTTGTACAGCTCATCCTCGCGATAAAAAAACTCAACCGAATAGATGAAAGTATAAGAGACATTGACCAAATATGAACACGTACAGTGAAACAAAATCGCGATAAGAACAAAATCACGGCCATTTGGGATCAGTGATCCTGATCAGGATCAGATCAATGATCTAATATAACTCGACCATGATATATCAAAAGAACCGATAAGCTCACTATAGGCAAGGATTTATCAGTTCCTTTGATACACCACTATGCAGACGATCTTGGATCATTGATCCTGGTCCACATTATTTTTAAGAAATGCATCTGTAGATTTAGAGCAGACCTGGGTTGCCTGTTTTTCTTTGAGCTTTCTTTAGCGGCGAGGCGGCGAATTGGATCGAATTTACGTATTTCGTTATGTCATGTCGTGCCTTTTCCTTGTTTTCTGGCTTAAATCTTAAATCATTTTTTACGTACGAAGAGCCTCTTTGGAGGGATTCACTTGAATGTCGGGTACAGTGATGAAGTTTTTTTCTCTGTATCTGAGGTACAAGAAATGTATTCGTACTTTGATGCGTTATTTCGAATCCAATTCTTTTTTTTAACATTAATCGATTAATGTCGCGCCTTCGTGCTCATGTAAACTATTTTCCGTACACACTGATCTAACATAAATGGCACTTACTCAGTGAGAATGGTTTGTTTGTCTCAGTCACACCGGGGGTAACATTTTCGTGACGTCATTAGTGCCACTATCCTTGTTGATGTTGTTAAGGTGAACTCATATTCATTGAATATCAATTTTGAACTTTTACTAACGAATTTTGTTCTCGTGTGCAGATATTTGTTGGTAATGTTGATCGTCAGACCGTGGTAAGCCACTTTCTGATTCCTCGTATCACAGCCCAGTTTGTGAGGATTTACCCGTATAGATACCGTCTATTTGGATGCCTTAGAGTTGAATACTACGGTTGTGCAGTTGGTAAGTCTCGATTCTGTTTTCCATGCTTTTTACACTAAGGTTGTCTTTTAGTAGCTAAGTTGCTGCTGAAAACTCCATAGCAGAATTCTTTTATGCTGCAAATGGCTTTTTTTTTGTCCTTTCGCATTCAATGAGCTTTGTAAATTAACGGTTGTCTGAACAGCTTTTTAGTGGGAGAGCGGGCCAAAATACTGGAGAGTTTAAGCAAACCACGACAGCAACGACAAGAAGAACGTCACTACTAAACAAGCAGATGAATGGTCATTCTCTGCCAAACAACAACATGAAAGGACATGCAGTTCTACGTATTTTGGAGAACGTGAACCACGACGGCTAATTTTTTATTTGGAACTGAACAGTGGCATCAAACAGTGGCATCTTATTGTTTAAAAGATCGGAACGATATGTTCTCTTTTTCTATAAAATTTATCTCTTAGAATAGAGTATTTAATGCAATACATAAGAAAGTGAGATTCATCTTCAATTTGATTAGATTCACAAATAGGGTAGAGTCTGTTAACCCTTGGAATTTGATCATATCTACCAATTTTAATTCTTAGTTTGTGATTACCTATCGTAAAATTTCACTGGTTCCTGTCTCTCACTTAACGTTCTTGTTAGTCAATGTAGCAACATATCTTTACAATACGACTTCACAAAGTCCAAATCCTACCGCGTCCTAGTCCGGTGGTGAAACATGTATTTAGATCAAATTTGTTGTACTGAGTGAACAAAGGCAATTGTTTATGTCAACCTCACTCAAGTGGAATGTAAGCCAGTTATTTTTTGGCATCATGACGTGTATAGAACTGATTTGTCACTCTTCTTAGCCCAACATCTTTGTATGGTGTATTCGATCTATGTCTACTATTTTATCAGGTAAAGATAACAAGTCCCAGATTCCGTGCTATGATTCCCTGGGAATGCAGAATGGTCAAATACCTAACGCGTCTATAACTGCCTCCTCAAACTTCGGTTCTGCTCCCCGCGCGAGGCTCTACACCACAGCAGAAAACGGTAAGCCTGGAGCTTGGGTGGCGGCCTTATCAGACTCTAGCCAGTGGCTTCAGGTATGTGAGAACACTCTTTAATCGTAATATTTAAATACACGACCCCCAAATTGTTAAAAAAAAAAGAAAAATCATAATAACAGATAGGTTTCTGTGAGAGTTTCTTTACCCCTCGCTAAATGAGGTGCACAGAACTGTTATACCAGAATTGAAAAATCTCCAAGGTTATTATATTTATTGGTTTGGAAATAGTAAATAGGAAACACTAGGCAAGACTATACCCTGCACAAGGACACTTTTGAGACCATCGGGCACGTCCTACAGCCCTACAACATCTCCGTAACCCGCAGACCTATAACAATTCGTTATGCCGGACATCAGCGAGAATACGAGACTGACTGAACAAAAACGAAACGGGAAAAACGATGAGGTCAACTGTAACCTTGCTTAACATGATCAGAACTGACTGGAGCTATTTTCAATTAATGACTGACTATGGAAAGCTTGCACACCCACTTAGACGAAAGGCTCCATAGCTGTCAGCGTTGGCAAAAGGAGAGGCTGGTAAAGGGTATTTTCGTGATTCGTGAACTACCTTTTTTTCTCCGTGAAATGTGAAATGACTAGTTGTTTTTGTGAATAGTAACGATAGTAGCCGTGAACTGTGATTTTCCAAGATAATTTCTCCTGAAATGACAAATAAATGTTTCATTCTTCGTGTACCATGATTTTGATTATCCGTAAGATGCCTTGACATTAGTCCTTTGAACTGGTATCGTTTTGCCACGCGCACAAAAATGGACGCAGAGGAATGGCGTAGATGATAAGTTTCAAGATCCTTTTAGTCTTGTTTTTCTCCCGCGAAACGTGGACGGAAACATGGCCCATTTTATTTTTCGTGAGTTGTGAAATG